ACGAGTTTTGGCCTCTTCTTCATTCTCACCCCTCTCCAACCCCCAGCACACCCACCTCGAGCCCAACCACACCACCACCACCAACCACCACCACCAAACAAACAAAGAACCGCCCAAAGCGATGATGGTGTGCCTGTTGAAGCGACTGGTCCTGGCGACCATTCTTGTGGTCTCGTGCTCGGCGGCGGCGGCTATCACTTTCTTCTTCGCCCCCTTGTGGGGCCTCATGCTACTGGGCGTGCCCATCTTCATGGGCGTCTACCTCTGCATTGTACGCCCTCTCCTCTTCTTGTCTTGCCCTCCTCCTTGACGCGCACGTCTCACTCTCTACTTTCGGGTCCAAACGAAGACGGCGTTCACCGGGGATCCCGAGATGGGCGGCTGGCCGAGTCTGAGGAGGAAGAAGAACGAGCTCGGCGAGAAGGACGCCCCACTCGACCAGAACCAGCCACAGCCACCCACCGAAGCTCCTCTCCCTGTCTAGCCGCCCAGTCAGAGATTTGGGAAAATGAAAATGAAATTTTGTTATTTACGAAACACAGTTGAAACTGGAAATGGAACAATACAAATCAATACAAAGGAAAGGAGCAGATAAGATGAAGGGGAGGCACCCGTTTGAGTCATACCGCTGCGGCGAGGATGGGCTGGAGGGCTGGGTGGAGAGGCGCAACAAGGCTCTGCCTTTCCTGTGGCACAAGCGATGGGCCGTCCTGCAGCCGCGCAGCAGTTCCCAGCCTGCCCACCTGCTCTTCTACAAGAAGTCGATCGTACGCAGCCTCGTGTGCCACATTATGCCCAATTTGATAGAGTTAATTTTCATCCTAACGCTTTCGCAAAGGATGCAAGACCCGAGTTGGAGATTAATCTCGAGAGGATGGCTGTACTGCCTGTGATTGGGCAAAAGCCCATCTTCAAGCTCGCCCACCCCAAGTACGAAACCGTCTACGTTGCCCTGCCCACCAAGAAGGTGCGCCACCTTCCCGACCTTGCATCTTTGCTTTCGCCAACAATCGACAAATAGGAGTTAGTAGGTTGGCTGGTGGCCATCATGGAGGAGATCGAGGAGGGGTCGTCTGCGCGCTTGGGCCAGCACCTAGCTTCGTCCGATGGGCGCGAGC